AGCGGTAGTAGTTATCGTAAATAGCAATAATAGTCGTAACAACACATGATACAAATGTGCTAAAAACCGCAGTAGGACAAAGTTAAAACTTATTATCGCAGACAAAAGATACTTCACCAGTGAGCTTTCTGTACCTACTCATCGAGTTACTTTTTTAATTTTTTTTTTCTTGGAAAAGTGGCAAGTACTCTGTTTTTTTCGTGTTTCATCACAAAAAGATACATCTCACGGCACGGAGATGCGTGCCATTCGACATCCCTTTTCATTTAATATACGGTAAAACTGTATTATGTTAGACCCAAAAATACTATGCGGGGTTCTTCGCGAGTTTTGCATTTTCTATTGGCTGTAAGTGTGCATGTTATGATCGCCGAAACCGTCATTTTTGTTTTTCGTTTCTCCTTGCGTTTTGTTTGTTTGTTCTCTTTTTATTATGTTTTGTTATCTACTGTCTCCGTGATGCGGATTACGGAATGTTCGCACATCATCTGAGTTCGCAATATAATCGCAATTATAACAGTGAGTGTGGAATTGTATTGTGATATTAGCTAGGTAACCGGTTTTAATGCCCAGCGAAGTCCGGTCTGTGTCAAATGATGCTTACTATTATGTGACATTCTGTAACACATCACTCTGATATACATAGTATATGGATCTCAGGCGAAGGATCGAGTAGATACGAAATAATAGACGTAAAGCAAGCGCCGAAAGTACAGCGACTCTTATAAATAATATCGATAAATATATATATATGTGTGTGTGTATATCCTATTGCTCTATAGTACAAATGAAATATATGAGTAATATGAGAAGTAAAAAAAGAACATGATACTCTATGGAATAATGTAATTGGAGAAATATTTGCGTTTCTCATTGCCCGAGATATCGTGCTGCTACAGAACCAAATCACTGGATCTTTAACTGAATATACGATGGTATTATATACACATAAAAAGGAGAAGGCGTTATAAGAGACATCAGTCTCTATCGGCAAGGAGGAAATGAAATCCGTGTGTGATCCAAGGCCTGAGAATTGATGAATGTAACACTGCTTGGCAAATGTATAACAATATTATAATATGATATGCAACATTTATAATCTAATCTTATTTCGGTACTAATTGTTAGTTATGCTGGGCATCCATTCATATCGTAAACGAAAATCTCGAATGTACATTCGTAGTACATTTAACTCGTAAAAAAACATTGCAATCACTTACCAATGTAATAACAGATAATAAAAACCGTTTGTATAATATCGGCAATCTGTGTTTAGTTGCAGTCGTTGCAACTTCCCAGTACTATTGTAAATTGTTGTATGTAAATATATTATAATAATATATAGCTGCATCTGTTTAGTAATTTGATTGTATGTGAGGTAAGGAGCCTGTCATATGAATGGTACGACTTAAAAAGTTACGATTCTAGGGAACATACCCTGTGCCCCATTTCCTAGAATCGCTATTATAAATCGTACTTATGGAACTATTGTCATCTGTAAAATATAATATAAAAGATCCTGAGTTGTACTGTGTGGTACTATGGCTATGGAATTGTGTGGCAGATATCTGTGCTGGTTTACTCTTGTACAGGAAGCTAAGATGTAACGTTCAAAGATAATAAAAAGCGGAGCTATATAGTAGGAACTAATTATTATTACCGAAATTTTACACGAACGACTAAAAGACCTAGTGTGTATTGCAAATATACAATAAATATATACTAAAAATTCATTCACTGAGTTCTCAAGCTCAGTTAAAACACGCTTCCAAAGAATTCCACAAAAATGCAACCAAAAATGCAATAGAGGCCATAAATAAGTATAAGACTAAAAAAATTAACAAATTAAAAACTAAATTTATATTCGAATATAATTCAAATATAACCATATATAAATTATGTATAATAATTTTTAAATACAAAAATTGCATCGTAATATTATAATATAAATTATGAAATAAATTTGTCATTTAAACATCACGTTTCAAACGCGAAATCATAATCTACAAATCCCATAGAAATAATAAAATAAGTATCTTCATACTATCCCTATAAATACCCTCCCTAAAAAAAGAGAAGGAGATAGAATACTCAAAAACTAAATCCTGCTACAGGCATGCTGAGAGATAGGAAACCAGCAGAGACACCGCCTTCTTATTATATATTGTTAAATTCAATCTGCTGCATTATTGCGATCACGGTTTGTTGATAACTGTTAATAATAAATATTATTACTCTGTTGAGCTGTCAATTGGCTGTATATTGCAATGTATGCATGTGAAAAATATATCATGTACGAGCTATGTCATTGCACATTGCGTTGCAATAATAAAGTAAATATAATCCTCTGTAAGAATATAATATTGTTGTAAATATCTGTAGTCTGTATAACACTGTATAGCATTAAATAAAACAACAAGTATCCGGCTGCAGAATTATCAGTACGAGGTGGGATGGCTGCTCCACCATCGGCATTTTAGTCGTTTCTCTCCCTCATCAGCGTTCATCTTTGCGATGAATAGGCACGGGACTTTATACGTAAACTAGTCTCCCAAACCTATATACACTGTCGACCATCGTATGAATGATCATCCGAATGATCTGTATAGGCGTCTTGTTACGGACGAAAACAATGAAGTGCGCGACCGTAAATCGGATTTGACTTCTTGTTCTCCACTCGTGTGACAAGAGAATTGCGTACGTTCAAACGATTTGAAATTATAAATTATATCCGTGCCCCCTTTTCCCCTCTTGCACAGGATCTGATTATTAAATACGGAATCAGCCTTGTGTCGTAACGTTATTCCTACCTACTCGTCGGTCAACTACGAAGATACGTTTCCTATTGAATCACAAGTTCACTAAACAATAAAGATAATCTTGATTCGTTACTATATCACAAAATGATACTGGGCGATAGATTAAAAAATAAATAAATCCTGTATATTAGTGATACGTAGCATCGAATTGCAACATCCCACTAGCAAAATGCTTCGAATCACCAATCTGCGCCACCTCTACCGAATAAGCATTATCGCCAGCTTGTGCCTGATACGATCTGAGCTTTGGTTCTGTGGTGCTCCCACCACCGCTAGCCCCACCTTCCTCGGCGGTGACCCGAGCAGGTGGGGCAGGAGTTGCTAAAAGCACCTTATTATCCACCTGAGTCTGAGCTTGGATCTGAGCTTGTGTTTGAGCCTGAACTTGTGTTTGTGTTTGAGCCTGAGCTCCTCCCTGAACCTGCGTCTGTCCCTGTCCCTGAACCTTAACTTGATGCTGGTAGATCTCTTCCTGACGTTGCCTGTCTGCCACACTGAGTTCGTGGAAACTGACCAGGTGACGCTTCAGGTACAGCTTGGTCTTGAATGGCTTGTTACATAGAGGGCAAGTGACACTCTGAGGGTTGTGGATGAGGCGCATGTGCTGCCGCAGGTTGGACAAGTTACTGTACATGCGGTTGCACACAGGACAGGGGCGTGGGTCCAGCGAGTGCAGTTTACGCAGGTCAGCTGCAACACACACACAACTTGCTCTAACCGGTAGCAGCCCACAGCATTGCACGTTACCACAGCATAGCACCACGCCTTGTCACACCACGTATAATATCAAAATGATACCACCCACCACAGGACAGCAACAACCAGCGAACAACCCTATTTAGCGCTACCCAATTTTGCTGCCTGCACGGTACAGTACAAAAAGGGCCCCGCAAGAGTATTACTTGCAAGGATGCGATGAGTCAAATATGTTTGGCAGACAAAACAATGGTAATGCAGTAAGAAAAAACATACAGTTTGAAAACAATGGTAAGCATGAATCGATGAGTATGAGAACCAGTAATTAGTGAAACTCTTGTTCATATATGCTTATTGCATATCTTCAATGTCGCGTTCTCTATCATATAGAGAAATAATATCTCTGGACAAAAGATTAGAAACGTTACAAACACATATAGACACTGATTCACTATCATTATTATTATTATGACATGTGCTAGCATGATGGTACATTGTCCTGTTTTTACTAATTATGGAATATCTTGAGTATTACACGAAGTGGAACACACAAAAATTTTGACTTTTATCGACAAACAAAATATTCGTATTCTTCGGCCACAAAGTGAGAGATACTAACCAAAATGATTTCGCTTCATTTAAAGACACTTGCACTTTCAGCTATTTTTTTCACAGATAGCTACATTTTTAATGCAATTATATTGAGCATCAAAAATATGTAGTCTCAATTATGTTTTATATATCATTATTTTAATTCAAAGCGGTATATACAAGCCAATTTCAAAAATTTATTATTTGTAAATATGGCCTTTAGAATTAGTAAACGAGAAAGCAAATGATTATAAAATAGTCTTTATTAATATCATCTTCCGAGCGTTATCTTTTTAATAAGCAAAATTATTCTTCATCAATTAAACATTTCCTATCAAAATAACCTAGTGTATGTATGTATGTGTGTGTATATATATATATATATATATATATATATATATATATATATATATATATATATGTGTATATGTATATATATATATATATATATATATATATATACATATATATACACACACATATATATATATATATATATATATTATGCATTAATATACGCGTGAAGCAGGAAAACAAAAGATTATAAAGCGTATTGGGATGGGATATTCTCTTTCTTTCTCGAATATGTACACGCAGGACTTGGTTGTTAACGATTCAAGTTTCCGGGCTATTTCGGTAACGTTCATACAACACAGCTGCTTAACTGCAAACTGCACTCTGTGGACTCAGGCCTATTACAGCCTCCGAGTGTCAAATGTCTCCTACCGCCTACCAAGACCTACCGAGCTACACACGAGCTTACCATTTCAAACCATCAAGATTCCTTTCTGCTTCCTTGTTTCTACTCACATTTGATATTTGTGATGTAATGGCTAGGTTGTTGCTGTTTGTAATGGTGCTCGCACTACCAACAAATAGTAAACTCTGACTCACCTTGCTGCTCCTGATTCAACTCTGTACTCCCATGCGATGGACCTGGCATTCCTCCTTCCACGTTGCTTCCTAAAATGAAAACATTGATACAGATTCCATCAGTTTAATGTTATAAGAAACGATGTTATAAGAAACGAATACATAAGACTTGAGATATACATTCAGAGAGGTATAACTATCAAGATGATTTTATATAAGAAAATGTTTATTAATTTTCAATAAGACGCAATTACCTTGATAAGATGGTGGGTAAGATGGCAACACTTCCATACCACCATCCAGGCTGAGAAATCCACTGGGCAATGTATTAACTTCCTGTTTAGGTGAGCAATCATCATCACTGCCATATTCGGGTAATTCTATTTTTGGCTGAAAGTACAGAGCACAAGTTACAATGAGTGTCGCAAAAATATGCAAATATGCATGACACATGAAACATACAAATATGCATAAGTGAAAGTTTGCTGGCACTATTATGCATATCTGATATTTGAATACATTATGCTGTAAGACTGTACCTCAACAACATCGAGATCTTTATAACAATCGAGCTGAACTTGAGGCTCGATAAGTGGGCGCGAGCGAGGTGTATTCGTAGCACAAGGCGGCACAGTGGGTGCTGGACTAGAAATTGGAGGTGAATCACTTCTTTTACACAGCCTTTTCAGTGGTGGAGGGCTCGAAGGTGGTGGAGTTTTACTACGTTCGTCGTCAAAGCTTGGCGAGATCAGACCACGGCCATTCGATGCGTGGATGTTGTTTGTCTTCAAATGCTACAAATCATTCAAAATAATGCATTGCGATATTATGTCTTCATACAAATGTGAACGTCACATAGGTCCGAATTAATGTTAAACATACCTTTTCGTTGTTGTGCTGATTATTTTGAGAGTCAGTGAGGCCACGAATTTGAAGAGATTCAGCAGTGCGTAGAAATGTAGGTAATTCGGCTTGCGAGATATTTACCTCTCCGGCGTACATAAATTCCAATAGCGATTGTAGATGCTCGAACTCTACATCCCGCATAAAAATTATCGGATGTTTGCAAGGATTTGTCTGCAAAGAATAAATCCCATGTGGTTATCAATGTCATACACTGCTATTGTAACATCATTGCACACAGTCTCATGTATTACAGAATGGAAAAGAAAAAGAAGCCTATGATATTAGTAAAAAATTGCAAAAACATTACTATATTAATTTTATCGCTTTGAAAATGCCTATTGCATGTTGCTACATGATGTGAGACTCGATGGATCAATCATATATTTACTCTTTGAACAGTCTATTTCACCAAATAATAATAGCTATGATATAATTTGCAAAATTAAAAAAAAAACAGCTGCAACATTATTCCTAAAACGCAGTATATACCTCATTACATATCTCTCATATTATCTATATCTTCATAAATGCACATTTTTAAACATGCTACGACTATCGCTCAGCTGAAGTTGACTTATATTTTACAGTTGAGTATCATTTAGATAATTTTACTTTTTTGCATATAATTTAAAAAAAAATACATGCTCTCGTATATATATTAATTTAAAAGAAAAAAGGACAAGGACAAATAAATACATGAGAGACTGAGCGCCAGCTTATTACTGCACAATTTCATCTCTGCAGCGCGCGCGAGTACAACCAATTAAACAAACGTACGTGACGAGCGTTCATTTATCGACCCCCTCTCGTGGGCGCGTTAATTACCGGGCAGCAATTGCAAATTTGTTCGGCGCGGTCGCGAAAAAGCGACAGCCGGGGAGGCGGAGGGCGAAAAATACATGCAAATTGTGACGTAACCGCGCGTGCACGATTGTGCCTCGTTTTGAAATAAGCTGCGATGCGCGACCGAAAAGATAAGACGCTGTAAGAGCGGCCGTCACGTAAATAGGTATTGTGTAATTTTGGAATTATTCATCGCGAGATGAGACGAAGAAAATGCATGTTACGTGCGCTCACACACGCATACATATCGCGGGGAGAGGCAAGGGTGTCAGGCAGCGGCGGCGGCGGCGGCAGCAGCAGGGAAAGGGAGGGGGAGGAGGAGGAGGAGGGCGGCTGCCGCCGCGCCGGAGGACGAAAGGGGGAAGAACGGCTGGTAGGTGCGCGGGAGGTGGGGAGGAGGGGCTGGGTGAGCGGGGCGAAGAGGGACAAATCTAAGGTGGGGAGCGGGAAGAAAATGGTTTTCTAACCTTGAACAACTCCTTGAAGTAAGGGCTGCACGCTGAAAGGACGACCTTGTGCGCCTGGAGCCGCCTGCCGTCGCACGCGAAGGTAACGTCGACGAAGTCCTCGTCATCTCGCAGCGCCTCGAACTGGCTCGTGATGTTCGCCTGAAAGTTATTCCACCGCAAGCAAAACTGCTGCTGGCTATCCGTCATTCTCTTCACACACTCGACTCCCTTCAACAACACCTATGATCACACATGTGGGGGCTAACTTAGAGTACCATACGCCCGTGGGAAAAACTTAACTCTCTCATTACTGTAAAAATGTAAAATGTAAAAAGTGAATCGATGACTGAAGAGGAAACGTACGATATAAATAATGACAATCGATATCCAGGTTGCCAGTCGTCGGACAGAAAAATTCTCTAGGCGGGCGAACGGCGGTCGCGCCGCTGCGCGCCACGACGCGACGCCACACGGCGTGTCATATCGCGAACGAAAAGTGACAAAACGGCGCGATTCGATACGTGAACGAGCATTCCTCTGACAAGTATATTGTCCCGATGAGTGAGCGTTCGCATCAAATAGCGTTCTCACTTGTCGAATGAACTTTTCTCTCACGTGAAGGTTTCCCACCGGATTAAATATAATATTCTTTACTTGTCGAGACAGACCAAACAATTTATTTGCATAGCGTATTGTAAAAAGTGCAGATATTCCATACTCTGTCATGCACAACACATTCTTTCTGGTTCTGTCTGGAATGATTACATTGCTGTTGTTTAACAATGAACGGTGAAATTTATTCTACAATGTTATTTTCAAAAGCAATTTACGATTATTCTATTTAAAAGCACGGGACGAGATAGGTATGATCTCCATGAGAGTAGACTTTGACACTATCAGTGTATGAATAATATTACGGTATCGACTCGTAACGATAAAACTCGACGCGAGATGCATCATTCGGTGTTCGCGGGTCGTGAACCGAGCTCGCGGAAGTTGTATCAAAATGTCAAATCATCAGCTTCGAGATTCCCATTTCAAATTGCCGGGCGGTAAATTGCGTCGACTTCGTCCGAATTGTCCCTAGACGACGCCATCCATTCGTGCAAGTTCACATTTACGGCGCATCGACTATCGACAGCGCGCGCTCTCGCGCCGACTATTGAAACTGACGGCGGACGAAACGAGTATCGAATTTTCGGAAATAATAAGCTACATGCAACAATGCTTCGATCCTATGAGTGCACACGTGCATGCGTGTTGCGTAATTACAAATGCCCCTTCGTGGTATGTGTGCAATGTAAAATATGGCCGCGCTTCGACGCGGAAACAAAAGGACAAAAATGCTCGTCGTCGAACTGTGTGATAATTCACGTGACATGTGTCGCGTGTCAATGATACGTTTAATTAGAAGCGACAATTGGAAGGCGAGAAAACATTAGCATGTTAAACATTAAACGAATGACAGACTAATCATCTCTCTCTTTCTCATTGATAAGGGCGTGACTACTATCCCGAAATAAAATCATCTCGAAGGTATATCCACGAGTATTTGAGAATATAAACATTTAATTTAATAAATTTGATACTCGTTGGAAGTAAAATTGAACAAACTTGTTGGAAAATAATGTGTTCAGTCACATTAAAGACACTTGATGAAATTAATAAATTTTAATTATCTTTTTGGAAGGAACATATAAATCTTGTCATTAACTTTTAATAATATTATCTGCAACGCATATTTCTCTTGAATATAATTATGCATCGTGCCAATTCGACGAAACGTGAGTAATAAGCACAACGAGTACGTAATACCCCGTGACGAGGTATCCCACCGTAACACGAAAATAGAATGAGATCCCAAGCGAGACGTTGAAGCAATGTGCAGCTGAGCGTACTTATTCCAACAATTATGAATAAACAAGCGCACCAAGTGCTGTCATAATATTTCATCGCGAAAGTTTTGTCGTAAAACGCGAGGCCTATGGGTCCTCTTTCTCTCTCTCTCTCTCTCTTTCTCTCTCTTCACCTATCTCTGTCCTTCTCTCTTTCTCTCCACCTATCTTTGTCTCGGACGCTCAGGCTGATCGACGTGAAGTTAGCCGAAGACGCGCGCGAAGGGCCGTCGCTAAGATCACGGCGAAAAGTTCATGCCCGGCATGGTAGGAGCAGCATTCGTACGCAGGATCTGCGTGCATCCCGTGGGGCGCTCATGGATCTTGTAAGCAGTAGAACTCCATCCTATATTTAACACGCACGCCTTCGTCGTCGGCTCGCGTGACACGGACGCGTTCGTCCTCTCTTTCTCTCTCTCTCTTTCTTTCTCTGGTCGTCCGCGCGCGTGTCGATTCGCGTTCGTCTCTCAGCGCTACTCGCGACTCGCTTCGCGTCGTTCGAGTTCGCCCAACGGATACGAGTGGAGTCGCATATGCAGTGCGTGCGGTAACGTGTCGATCTCGATCGTTCAACGGGGTGCTTGAGTGATGTGACGTGCACGCGGCATCGTCGACAACACACATCTCACGGTATTCTTCGTGCGAGAATGTGCGCCAGACATCGACGCACGGTAAGCGATCGAAATGTCGTCGCGTCGTCCGTCTCGCGTCCTCGCGCGACGCCGTCCTTTAACCTAATTCCGCCTGGGCTCTCTTTCGTGAGTTGAGGTTACTGCGGGAATACTCAATCGATACGTGAAAGGAGCGAGTCCTGTGCTCGCGATCACGTCTCTGATCGCCTTCACGACGTGTGCCATTCAATGACACGCGTCGTCGATTCGCGACGTCAACAGCTGATCTAATCCTCCTGCCGTCCGTCGCCCGAATCTCTCTCGGACTTTATCGCGCGCCCATCCGTAATTTGCGAGGGGAGGGGGTGGACAGGTGTACCGTGTTGGGTTAAAGCAGCTGGTGTAATCACGCGCACCTTGTACTTTGCCCCGGGTATCTTTCGAAGATAGAATATTCTTATAACCTATAAAAGATGAACCTCCATTGTATCACATATACACACACATAGACTCTGTTCCCTCCTCCCGTCGTCCACCTCGCGTTTTTCTTGTACAACTACCTTGTACTTTGCTTTATTTTTTGCAGGATATCATTATAGATATTATTCAATGACGGTGTGTGATTCCTATGTAGTATGATTTATATAATGCTATCATAGTCGCTATGAGAATTCTAACAAGATGCACTGTCATAATGCTTTTCTCATGGAATTTACTCAATGTCTGAGCTAAATATAGGCTCCTTTGTCACACAGAAATCAGGACATGGTGTGACAGATGATGAGTAGTGATTTTATGAAGTGGCAGACCAAGTGTAGCTGACAGAAAGAAGAGATACGCGTGATCAACATAGGAATTACACAACCTGTCAGCTTCAAGGCAGTCTCCTTAATGGCACACCACTAAACACAACTTGATCTCACTAAATATAATAGCAAAAACAGTGTTTTGATGAAATTTCAATGACACTAATTGTGTGTTCTCTTTTCATTTTAGTACATGCACAATATCTTCCACTGGTGATCGTGGTGGTTTCCCATAGTGGAAACCAAAAGCTACATATTACGTTACGGTGAGTGTATATGATTGTGAAATGGTTTTCTCAGAAGGAACCTTTACCTCCTTGACTTTTTCTAAGTGTCAAAGTTAGATTAGATTAAGGTCTTGCTCTGTGTACATGGTACTGGTACTTGTGCACAAAATCACTCTGCGCGAAAATCAAACCGGTGCGAAAGCCTTCTCGTTGAAGATACTTTTACCCGAGACACCCGATGTCCAAAGACGCGAGTTTTTCACTTCCGTGTGGCTTCACAGGAGAGGGCACGCAACGTAATTCGTATAAGCGCAGTTAGACAAAGCGTATATGTATCGTACAACAAAAGAGGTGATCGATTCGTACCTTGTCGCGGCTCCAAATATTATTCTAAGGCTTCGCGAATGTCGCAACCATCCGGCAGAAGCACCATAGAGTACTGAAAAGACTACATAACTATTGTATCATATCAGCCGAGCATTACCTTAATCTTGGTAGGAGACGGACTTAGCGATGTACAGTCCGTGCAGAAAACGCGCCGATGACGATTCTCAAATGGACGGTCTTAACGCGTTATCCACTTGTTCCTCGGCGCTCAGGTTGAGCCAGGTCACTTTTTATCTCGTGACTTCGATATGTCTGTAGCTATAATTCATTCTAAACAGCACAAAATAACTTACCTTAACAGACAAGCATCAAACTCACCTCTCGCATCTGTTACAATGTAACATAATGACAAAACACGAGTCTACATCGAGAGAAAAAATATCTAAGAAATAGTACATAATAAAAATATATTGGTAAGTACTACTTAGTAAGTAATAACATACTTAATGTAGAATATTTTTCAAATAAGAAAATATGCATTTTCTTAAAATCTTAAAAAAAAACCTTAGATCTTCATGAAAGCAATTGTTTCTTCTATTTAAATAAAGAATTTAAATTTAAGTAATGTATTATAGTACTTACTCTAAAAAAATATTTACTGTTTTTAGATATTTTTTCTCTCAATGTATTGAGCGCGTCAAGGCGTAGAATCAACGTTTATATAAATCTAATCTTATTTCGCCATATTTAGCAATTATATCGATTTCATTTTCCGTGCGTATCGAATTTCGCATAAATTATGAATTATTCGCGGTAAACTGATACACGCTGACTCGTTAAAGATAAACTTTGCTAACGAAGAAACGCTCTTTTGGTTCTTAGCACTTTTAACACGCGGCAAAATAAGTAATAATTTGTTTCTTGACTAGCCGAGTTTACGTTTATGTCACGTTCCTCGCGTCAGCTCGTTGCCTATACTATCAGTAAAAATGGTTTTGCGCGTGCAGTGCAATTAAATGAAATTCGCTCGCGGCAAGTTACAATGAGGTATTCATGCAAATATTCTAATAACGAGTTATATTAACAAGGCGTCTCTCGCGTTTAATTAAAAACAAGTTAGATAATATAGTAAACAAAAGTTTACAGACGTGCGCGTGTATAGACGTGTTTTTAAGTCAGAGAGAATCTTATCAATACGCAGCAAACAAAATTAGCGGCTGCACACAAAGTTGCTTAAGCTGCAATTATAGCATTGCGTAATTAATCACAAGAACGCCGCAAGAAATTTAAATATGCAATCTAACCTACAGATAGATAAATGATGAACGGACGAGAAAAAGCTCATAAAGAGAACCGGTATCGGTCAGTACAAAATTATCTGATACCATCCTTGATGAATGCGGCGTAACATTTTCGCGCGTCACGCTATCGCAATTTTTCACATAAATTACGCGATCGATGTGCATATATGATATTTTTCAAATATTGACGAGAAGTGAATCATAATCTGATCTGATCAGCGAGCGAGAGAATTCCACGGTCTCTCTTGTCGTCCAAACTCGCTCCATCAGCTACCTGCTATTTTAAACGCCAAATTTTTCTCACCGTTTCTCCTCTTCTCTCTCCCCCCTCCTGCCGCCTTTGCATTCGTTTTGTGTATAAAAGCCGCGTTTCGACGGGACGGTTTTATGCAGGATTGTACCGCGTGCGTTATCGGCGAGTATCCGCAGATAAGACAGGCTCATTTCGCTTTTACATATCGAGTCGACGCACATCCTGCAGAACTTCTCGAGTTATCCGCGCGAAGGATCGCGATCGCGAGTTCTTTCTCCCGTTTGCCAAAAATATACTTTTCGCGCGTACATTGATCATCAGTTTCGACTTTGCCGCGCCGGGATCGTCCACGTGAGCCGCGTACGTGTAACGTCGTGAGGTCTTCATGTTTAAATTACATCAGCGGCACAATTGGAGGCTCCGTGCGTATCGACCAGTGCTTCTCTTTATCGCCGAAAGCTGACAGACCGCGTCGCCTCTTTATTTGCCGAGAGTGATAAGCCGTATAATTTACCGCCGTTGACATTGTGAGTTGGCGGACGCGATGCTGTTGCGCGGAATTGCATTCGCGGAGGCGCGCCGCAATTCGGCGCGGCGCGTCTTCAAGAACCGCGACAAGGCGCAGAGCAACGGCTGCGAAAAAGACGTCGCGGAACTCTCCTATCACGATGGGTCCCGACATACGCGCAAGGCGATGGTGATCTATCGCCCCCTGGAGGAGCCACTGTCTCCCGTCTTTCCGATAACGTTTGTAAGTTGCAAAGACAATGTGAATGCAGAGCCGGGGCTGAAAGCGAGCGATGATAAGTGATCGTAACTACGCAGGAATGATCCACATGCAGTACATTTTGAGAAGAATGAAGATGAAAATTTCATATATGATTTAAAAGCTATAGTCAGCACGAGGTTCCTCGCAGTCATTCTAGAAGTCAAATTAAAATTTAGTAAAATTAAAAATAAAAAGTAAAAATAAAGAAATAAAAAGTAGAAAATAAAAACTATTTTTTAATTGATTTTAAGTGTTCATATGGCTTGAATCTTTTATGTTTCATGTAGAAAGACATACGGACTACCCATTGGTAAAAAACAGAAACTGAAAAATCATAATTTTGTGGATCATTCTTGCATAACTATGGTTAATCGCTGATGCGGACACTCCGGAGTTAGAAACTTTTTCGCAATCATCGAATTTGAACAAGAAATTTCGTTTCTTTGTCCTGTTTGACTTTTTTTATTGTCTTTTATCGCATCAAGTTACAAACCAGTATTGGTCATCGATCGATGAAAATTTTCTTTGACCAAAATAATCAGCAGATTAACAATCAAAATTAATCAGTCGTCATATGTAAAATTCCAAGTAATTTCACCGATTGATGAAATAAATTGTTGATCTAATTTTGATATGATTAACTACACACAGAATTGATAATCAATTTCAATCGATTAAATTATTTGTGACGATTTGTATATACGCGACAATAGATTAATTTTGATTATTGATTCGCTAATCACTTCAGCCAATTTTCATCGATTGATGCCCTAATTTTTTTGTAATTTGATTGTAACACTATGTTACAAACTACGAGATATCACGGTTTCGTGCACGCAGTGATATCGAGTACGACATTTTCATTCAATACCGGACGAATTATCAATGTTTCTCGAAATGGTAAACAATAAGCGGACCGGTTTCTCCCACTCCGTGAAAGTAAGTCCAAGCATCTATCTCAAGGAGGTTCCTTCATCTCGCGCGGGACGTATCTGAGTTTAGTATGTGACGTTGGTCACGTTGAACTCATTCGAATTGAGTACAGTGCGTGAACAATTTTGACGGAATCGATCGATTTGGGATAGACAAAAATACGACCACCCCGGGGAAACTAAAGAGGAGGATTTCGAAATCTCTCGTGTTATCACTAATTTTCCATGATTATTAAATTACGGACTTTTACTGCTTACTTCATCCTTGAAAAATACGTATCGAAGTATACGCTTCAAACAATTCGCTGTCGAATAGATTTTTTTGTGGGCTTTCTAATTTCTCCTTGCTAATTTTTCTAGTTCTCTCCCCTCTTTCTTGTTTCACTTTTCTTTAATTCTACTGTTGCACGAATTATAACAGATTTCTCTCACCGATCAGCGCACGATCGTCATTAACCGTTACATTCATTGCTAAGAGAAGATAATCACTGAGTGATCCAATGCAATTTTCTTTTCCCTTTTTTCCCTCGTTTTTACATGTCGCGATTGTGCTGATAGCTTTGTTCGATCGTCCACTTGTCTCACGTTAATTTCCCGCGAAATTACCAAGTGGATATCGTCGTAGATCGATCGTTTGTCTTATGACATTTTCTTATTCACGTTCCTTTCTCGTCGCATGGAATATTACAAAGTATAGCGTTGCTACGCGTAACCTTGCGAGTAAGTCTCGCGGCTCTAAAGCGGCTGAGAAGATCGGAAAGTGAAATTGAACGGCTGGACACTAACGAGCCTTGACTGACGTGCAGAAAGAATGTGCAAAACGCGTGTCGGGCCACTTCCCTCGGTTGCATCGCCACGATGTCTCGTCCACGACGCCGAGGTTCGTTCATAAATATCTCCTACGAATTGTACGTAGCACCCGTTGTTTCTCCCGCGAGGGAGAGGGATCTTATTGACTGTACTCTGCATAAATCAAACCGCGCAACCCGACGCGAAATGAAAGTCCGCAGATGTTCCAACGCGAATCTTATCGGTAACAGCTATAGCGATCCCCCAATGTTGCACATACGCGTTATTGGTTATAGCCATTGTAGTCGCAGATTGAAGCGTATATCTCTGCGTGATCTCTATCGCCTTATCACGTTGATACGTTATCGGCATACAATGACAAGGGAAATTTTCAAAACCGGAAATTGACGTCTGATCTGGTAATGATAGTGACATTAAATTTCCCTACGCTATTTTTTATGCAAGTTAAATTAATTTACAATACCATAGCTTTTCGTCAATGGAAAAATATAGTTTTAGGTAAAAAATAGGTTTTATATTGGAAAAAAATACTTGAAAATTTATTTGTGAGACATAAATTTCATTTGCAAAAATGAATTTTATTTCACAAAAATAAGCTTTATTTCACAGAAATAAACTTTATAAATAAGTTCTCAAGTATTTCTTCGCAATGTAAAAACGAACACTGAGAAAGAAATACTTGAAAATTTATTATGTGATATAAAGCTTTTATAAAATAAAGTTTATTTGTATGAAATAAAATTTATTTCTATGGAATAAATTTTTATTCTACACACAAATAAATTTTTAAGTATCTTTTTTCACTGTACACTTTGAAAATACCGATACAAAATCAATTAAATTCCGTAAACTTGAAATGACGCTTCTTCGCACATGCGCTGTTCCACGTCATTAATATCGTGGTTCATTTGTTGTGATGCGCATCGATGGCGCCTTTGCGAAAACAGTCGAAACGACCTCGCGCGACTGAGAGTCAGTGTCCTGAAATAAACTCCGGTGGAACCGGAAGACGAGCAAAATGAACGCATCCGCCGGACCGGCACCGATCTAAATAAGCGCGACAGCTTGAAACGCCGGTCCCCACGCGTGTATTTAGGGGCTCAGGAATCGGCCCAGGAACAACCTCCCCATCGATGGCACTCCGCGTTGGTTCCCGCGATGACACGCGCACGTCGCGGAATGCGCTTTGTCCCATGTCCTCCGAGATCACGAGTCCGCGAGACGTGCGACCGTGCAGACGCGGATACGTAAAGTGCGAAATTGCGTTTCAGGACAGCGAGGCGATATCGCGCGTCGCCACAGCGTCCAAGCTGGCCACCGTGGAGGATGTGGGTCCAAAGCGGCCCGAAGGCCCCATCCGACCATCCGCCGCCTCCCTAAAGGTCTCACCCACGGCCAGGGCTACTCTACAGGCAATACGGTCACCCAGGAACAAGCTAGCCACCTCCGCTAATACCCGCGACGCTGAGACCATCACGGGTAAGACTGAGAGGCAATCACTTTTAGACACGTATACGTACCAGTTCGTGCATGAGCGAAGTCACGGGACGATACCCGAGGTATCGATACTTTCACTGAACGTCTCGATGGGGACTGAATCAGTTCCACCGGCGAAAAGCGCGACAAACAGCGCGATTGTACACTGATTGTAGACCTCTTTCGAAGTAGTTTTTCTTATACACTGCACAATCTTCACGAAACGCGTTAGAGAACAACCGGTCGTTTTCCCAGACGACGATCTCGTGGATAAACAGAGCGATATTTCAAGGAACGCCGCGAGTCGATCGCGCGCGTTCAAGGATCGGCGGCGGGCAGGATGCGCGGCGTGGATTTACATCTGACGTCGGAAGCGTACGAGGAGAAACTGTCTTTGACGATGCTAGCACGAGGAGTTTTATAAAGTGCTCTACGGCTTACCTGTTCCGAGCCCTCATGGTGTTTCCCATTGGCCTGCGCCAAATGATGATTACTCCTGCCCGGCGGATAATACGCCACGCTCCATTCTCATCATCATGATCGTCATCATCATTATCGTTATCGTTCTAGTCATCATCATCATCATTTTTGTCGTCGTCTGCATCATAATCGTAATCATCATCATCATCATCATCATCATCATCGTCGTTGGTTGTAGTCGTCGTCGTTGTGCTCGTTATCTTCTTCTTCGTCTTCTCCTCCATCATCTTAATCATCATCATCACTAAAAATGACGGCTGTTATTGCAATTATTTTCGTCGTTACGGACATCTGCGAATCTGTCCTCGATCTTTGATACGCTCCAAATTACAACGCGGAACACAGCGCGTTCGATAACATTCTCGGTTCGACTTTCGAAAATATCGTCATACCGCAACGCGCGTCCAAAATATCAAGAGCACTTTATTACTCAGACCTCGAAATAGGCGACCTATAAAGGGCCAGTTTCATAACCAGGTCTCGAACCTACGACACCGAGACGTCGTCGTCGTCTTCGACGCCGCTGTTCCGTTCGAGGAAATTAGAGCGTTACTAATGATCTCTGTATATATTGAGTCGCGACATTTTTGTCATTCTCATAATCAGCACTCTCAAATCAAACCACGAAGATCGCGATGTGCCGATGTGACTGCGACGAGGAAAAGATGACAAGACCAGGCGCAATTAAAAGCTCGTTTCACCGCGCGCACGTTAGTTTATTTTTGTCTATTATGTAACGTAGGCTCTCTCATATACAGTGCACGCGATTTTTTTTTGGAGTTGGTTGACAGCACTTTGTGCCAGCCATTTGCCAGCAACCTTGTCGAGAGATAAAGAGAGAGAGAGTCGCTACTGGGGATTGAAACGGTGATCGATCGCGAACCACAGTAGTCGCTCGAGACAAAAGTATAGAAATGCCGTTTGTACATTTTTAAGAACCGCGCGATCCAAATTGTTCTTGTCCTAGTAAGCCATTACTTTCGATTCGATATTTTTACCACAGAATCGTATAGGAGTTAGGGCCGATTTTTCAATGATAGTTTAAACTTAGATCTCTACTTAAACTCTGTTTAAACAAAACAAACGGAAAAACCGGTCCTTAATCCCAAAATATAATCGTTATGTTCCCCGCGTAAGGTGACGCTATTAAAGAGTTTGGTAGAAAGAAATGTAGAATAACGTGAATCTAGTTTTGCTAAAACATTGATATCCTCAAAGTTCCTCTCATGGCACACGTCGCAAGAAATGATCTCTCAATTCGTTCGATGAATTATTCGATCGCGGGAATCGAAATTGGCGAAACTCCAACGATAATACCGGTCGCTGCTATTTTCTTCCATCGCGACTGTCCGTACGACGGAGTTCGCCGGCGGCTCGCGGCTCAAAAAGTACGCTTTTCCGAGCGCGCAAACGTCGCTCGCAGATATATCGCGTAGAGAGTTCTCGCGTAATCACCGAAAATAAAAAGTACGAGCCGCGCCGACGTCGTTCGTTTGACGTGGATTAGTGGGCTTGCAGCGACGCGATCGCACCGTACCGTCGATTACGCCATCGATTTTGTTCGAAACCCATCGCGCAACGATCAAGAGTGTTACGATTTGTGTACGATGTACAATCTGATTGTTTGCAGCTGTCGAATTGCAGTACAGCTCGCAGATTGAACTATTTACTAATGATTCATTCGTGAGTCATGTGTCTTCGTTTATTGCATTGATAACGTTAACTCGAAACGAGATATCTGCTCTTTCTTCTACTCGTCACCGTTAGATAAAGAAACCTGACCGTCAAGGCCGTTACAGTGACATATTTCGTGTTCCCTATTGGATTGAGCAAAAGCAACGTCCGCAATTTCGCGAGAGAGCTCGCAACGCTTCACGTTGTGATTTCTATAAAAAGAAAATTTATATATTTTGGAGGACGCAGTCTATAATTGCTTCACGGCAAACGATCTCGGATTTATTGGGTAATCGGTCGGTGCCGTAAACGCCCCAGGTCATTGTCTCGGCGGCTAATTGCACAAGCCTCTTTGGCACGTCGCTTTTCAAATTGGCCGGCTGGGTAGCTCGCAAAAGTTGCGGTACCCGATCGTTTCAACGCATGGGCCAGTTCGGATTTACGTAATTGAACGTGGTAAGCGCGAACGGGATTCCTGAATCTTTCGCGGACGACGAATTCGACGATCTGCTGACAGCGTGGAAGGCGCCTTAATGAGGAAAGTGAGGAAGGGCGAAGCAGGCGGAAGGTTCGGCCCACGCTGGACGTGAGATTATGTACTTAGGTGCAAGGGAAGCGAGAAGGCCCAAGGGCCCGGCGAGGCTCAAAGGAATTCTCGAGAGGCGCGAGACTATTCTCAGCAAGTGGCGAGATGGTAGGACAGTTTCGTCGCGATCATTTTGTCCCGTAATTTTGCATGCGAGTTCTTCATCCCGTCCATCGTCCATTTTCATACGTCGAGCGAGTTAAATGCCGTTGAAAATCAAGGCAGCTTCATCGACGAAATCTGCTGAGGAATAAGGAACGTTTATAACCAAAAGGAAATACAAAAATATTCTAACACCCAAAAAAAAGCTCTAGTTGCATGATGCTATTTCCTGTAATCCTATATTCTAAGTAAGAACTCTATTCCTATATTCTAAGTAAGAACTCTAATCCTATATTCTAAGTAGAACTCTTACTGAAAGAATATTTCTTGTTTTAAAAATTAAATAAATTATTAATCGTAAATCTCTTATACTGAGAGAAAAATATCTAAGAAACAGTAAAATATTTATTCGGTGAGTACTAGTAGCACATATTTACTTATACTAACATAATATATTTTTCAAATAAGAAAATATATATTTTTTTAAAACTTCAAGAAAGCTTTAGCATGTTTCCTCACGAAAACAATTGTTTATTATATTTAATTAAAAGAATTTAGGTTCAAGTAAAGATGTGTTATTAGTACCCTTACCAAATAAATATATACTATTTTTTAAATATTTGTACAGTATAGGTACTAATTTTCTTCCCTTTAAATTAACTCTTAGTGACTCTATATAGGCATTTCGAGTCCGGACGGTTTCTATTCATAAAAATTTTTCAGCACGTTGACGGGTTCCGGATATATTACATTTTAGTTTTTTGCACAATGAAGTACAAGTATTTGTTCTAGAAATTTGGAAGTACATCCGTGAATTTTTACAAATTTTTCGAACCACTTTAAAGATATGATAAAAGGGCCGGACAGACCCATGTAAAGTGACATGTGGTACCGTTTTTCACATAAGCCACACATTTTCTTAAAAAGAATATGTTTACTTGAAGCGAGATGCTTATTATAGAAGAAATTTTTATTAAGAACAAAACTTGTACCATGGATGAGAAATTCTCTCTCTAATTTTAAGAATATTGTGCTTAGAATATTTCTCTTTCAGCTTTAGAAAAATCCGCTTGGGAGGATATGTGTGTAAGAGGATTCTGCTAAAAATAAGATTATATTTTTTTTTTGGGTATATTTATAGATTTCTATCTTAGTATCTTATTTCTTTAATAGTTTTTTGCTTTTGAAAAGATATACCGTTAAGCAATTATTATGTGATCCTTCATTCCCAGTCAATTGCACATAATTATTAATCTGACTCCGATTAATCTGATAAGCCGTATCCAAAATACTACATTGAGAGAAAAAGTATCTAAGAAATAATAAATATTTATTTGGTAGATACACTAACAGCATATATATATATATACATATCATATACACTAAAGTAAACTCGGATATGATGGCCATAACGGAAAGATGACTGTAGGCTGTAATTTCTCCAATAATTGCAAAACATTGCGTTTATATAATCAGTCACAAAGATAATCGACATTTATCGTAGTATATGTGCGTACATTTTTTGAAATAGCAAGATTATGAATATTATATTATATTTTTATTTTCGACTACCTGTAAAATTTCTCATATATCCACTAAAATTTGCTGTAACGTCGAATAAATTACAGTTAAGCTATCGCAATCAACGTTATATATATAAAGTAGGTATGTAAATTGTAATATAACATGCCTTTTTATTTTCATTTTTACTATTTGTTTATAAATACTATTATAATCGTCTTTCACTCACATTTTGGGCAAGATGGCCCACTATCATTCTAACATTTATAAAATAAAAGTCGTTATATTTCAAAAATTACTTTCAATATTACAGTAATTAAATCTTATGTGCAATATGTTTTGATCAAAACTTGGATTTAAAATTTAAAGTTTTGTAATAGAGAGATTTCTATTTTGTATGTATATTTTTCACAAATAATATATATTAAATATCTTATACTAAAATGAATATGTCAAATTATGTTTTTTTCATTATTTTATAAAATAATAGATACAGAATCTTGAACATAAAATATGTATGGGTCATCTATTCCTTATGGCCATCTTGTCTTAAACATTTAGGTAAGATGGCCAAT